GAATCTCAGAGTTGGCAGCCTTGTCCATCCGCAGTGACCTGTGCATTGTCTACCCAACAGGGTCGTCCTACATCTAGATCCATCCTTCCTGCCGAAGATCAATTCATATTTTCACCGTGCTCAGGAGATTGTCCTTCTGGACTTTTGCCCAAGACTTATGGATTCCAGAGAACAGCGTTGGCACTCCCTTGATGTTCGTAGATCTTTAAAGCGGTACATCAAGCAAACTTCTTCCTTTTGCCAATCTGAATCCCTCTTTGTTTCTTTTCAACTGACATCCGTGGGGCACAAGGTCACCTCTTCTACGGTCGGCAGATGGATCAAAGCTTGCATATCCCTCACCTATGAGCAGCAGGGTAGGCCGACTTCCTTACAAATCACAGCACACTCTACACAAAGCGCTGCTACAACAGCTGCCTGAGCCACCCAAGCTTCGATCGAGGAGATTTGCAAGGCGGCAACTTGGTTGTCCCCTTCTTTATTTGTCAGACACTACAAATTGGACAAATTTGCTTCCGTAGATGCTGCCTTTGGCAGGAGAGTGCTGTAATCAATTGTTTCTACTTCCGATTAGACTTCACCGTTTTTCACCCACCCTGGACATAGCTTTGTTTGGGTATGTCCCATTGCTTACATTCTCTCTTAGACTCTCCAAGCAGGTCACGGGAAAATGAACATTGGCTTACCTGAAGGGTCCTTTTCCGTGCGCTGCGGGAGAGTCCAACCCCGCCCTGGGTGGAGAGTTACTTCAGACTGGAACGTTCCTGGTCAATTGACTTCTATGGATTACATTCGATGTAACATAGACTACTTAACCTCGGACTATGCCTTTGTTGAAAACTGGATATGTGAGGAGATTAGGAGGTGTGGCTGGAAATTCAATTAAGTCCATTGGGCAGAAGGACAGGATTTAACTTGTTGCTTGAACTCTCCCGCAGCCCAGGGAAAAGGACCCCTCAGGTAAGCCAATGGTCATTCTGTCAAATTTTGATGGAAAATACTGATCGTAGTTATTTAGCCTTATGGAGGAAATTAATCCTTCATTGCTGATTTCTAGGCCAGTTTACCATTATATAAGCTAATTCTCTTGCTTACTACTATGTGTCCGATTAACTGATATGTAGGATTCCATCATTCCCTGTTTTGTTTGTTGAGAAGTTTAACTTCCACTGTATTAAATGTAGGAAGTGTCCATCAGCAACTCCCTGGTCCAGACTAATATTTATGAAGTTTTTGATTTCTGCCTCTGACCCTATCTTTTATAAAACAATAGCTGCTGTTTGTTCAATATGATTTACTATATAATAAATTAGAGTAGAAGTGTAGTTTCTGTTTTCAGTCTGTATCCATTGTAATAGTCAAGAGAAGAATTCCAATAAACTGCTTTTGACTTTTTTTAAATACTACTGTTCATTAAAAAGAAGCATTTTGATATCTCAAAAAGAGCTTTCTTACACTGAGAAAATATCTATTGCTTTTTTTTTTCATTTGTTCTTATTCATGTCCAATATTTTCCACCCTCCACCCTAAAACCCCTAACAAAAACAGTATATTTTTCCAAAAGAAATTGTGGTGGTGATTATATTCAAAATTATAATAGACTTAAGCAAATTATTATGGTTTGAAATATTAAGAGATCGGGGTCAGCAAAAACTAGAGAAATTTTTTTATCGTTGTTTACATTAGTGCAGTTTCAGTGAAACCCATTTGCAAGGCAATAGGGTCAAGGCTGATTTGAACAAAATATAGGAATTGTATAAAATGGGAGAAGAGTTAATTTCATTGTAAAATAACATCTCTAGTACAATCCTTTTTCTTTAAATTAGAAGTCTAAAATAGTAACCTTGTTGTTGTTGACAGGATGTATTCTTTCCTTTTTCATCAAAACTACCATCCATTTCCCCGACTTTGATAGCATATACTAATAGAACTCTCAGAGTTGCCAAAGAAGCATGATGTGGAAAAATGTATTGCAGAGGTTGGGAACATTCTAACACTTATAAAATCTGTACTCTAAATTTAACATAAGATTAACACTTAACAAAGTGTGTGTAAGTCCAGTATTGTTTTCAAGGTTTTAAAGTTCTAAAATCTAAATGAAAGGATACGTGAAATTTTATTTTTTTAATCTGAAGAGGTCTTTCTAAAATATTACTGTAAAACAAGCCATGAAATAACTGTTTCAACGTAGATGTACAGGGCGGGGCATAACCTTTTCCTAGGGGGTCACAGCAAGATCGACAGCAGTTTACAACTTCCGCGACACCTCATTTTAAAGCCCATAAAAAACTGAATTGAATGAGCTACTAAATGTTAAATTTGCTTTAAGAATGGCTGGAAAATTCGATTCGGAAATGCAAATGCGACTCAGCAATTGTTAAAGGAAAACAATGTCGATTTTTGGGGCAATGACGTCTGGCCGGGAAATTCGCCAGATCTCAATCCGGCAGAGAACATTGGGGCCATAATTAAGGATTAAGGATGAAGTGGAAGCTCTGATGATTCAGGAGCAAGGTCAAAATCGATATTCGGTTGAAACTTTGAGAATGAATTTGGAAACTGTGTTGAAAAATCTGGAAAATCAAACGGAACTGTTTGAAGATTTGTTGTGTTCTTATCCACCTCGTTTGAATGCTGTTCGAAGGGCTAATGGTGGTCATACTGACTATTAAATCGTGTCAATAAACTCAGTTTTTGATGGGCTTTCGAATGGTGTATGAATTATTTGTGTTGTTATTACAAGTGTTGCTGTGACCCCCTAGGAAAAGGTTATGCCCCGCCCTGTACATGGAGAAGATGTAATAATCCTCCTTACTAAGCACGGTAGCTTTTTAAACCTCTGATTAAATAGATGCTTTATACTTATCATGTGTCCCTCATAGATAATGCTTTTATCATATTCTGAGGTACCAAGAAACTAGAGGATAAATTCCTTACACCATAATTTATGTATTGTATATTTCCCCAAGAAACAGAGTCGATGCTGCATGATTAATTGTTCAGGTTTTTCTTATAAGACTGACTACTTTCCCCGGCCCCTAGTATACGTGTACTGCCTGGGCAGGATTGGACTATGAATGTAACTGCTAAAGTTGCAATATATTTTTTCTTTTAGATCTGCATGTTCCCAAAGCAGAATGGCTGAAGTTTGAGGCACCTGTTACTAAACCTTTTTCTTAATCAAAAGACAGTTCTGCAAGCCAGAAATGAAAAGCTGAAGTTGAAATATCAATGACACTCTGTAGTGCAGTGAAGGAAGCCAAGAGTTGGCTTCTGTATTGTGCTTGAGAGTTACCCAAAGCAGCATACAAAATGATTTGCCAGCTAATAAAAAAAAACTGTCTTGTTTATTCATCAGAACTGTGGGCAGTCATTGTTTGGGAGCAGACTCCAACTAATTACATGCCAGCCAACAGCTGATTCTCCCCCAGAAGGAAGCATTGCCTAATAAAGATCATAGATGCCAACCACTAAATACACAAAGTACTAAAGATGAGCAGTTCAATCGCCAACTGTCTGGTTTTTCTCAATAAAGCTAGTGATGGACAAATTTGGGTAGAACTTTGCTATTCCCACCTGAAAGTCAATCTTTGTTTCTTACTTGTCTTATGGTGAAATATGGATGTGAAATATGATTCTTTTGTGCAGTTAGGAGAACTCACTAGCCTTTCTGTTATCATACTCATTCTTTTTAAAATGCCTGTAATGATTAAAGGACATTGGCACCAAATGTTTCAATTTTACAGTGATTGCAAATAAGATTATAGATGTGTCATTATTTATTCCTTGAAAGTCATTTCAATCCATTTGACAATGGTTATTATGTGTGATACTAGAATGCAGGGTAAACATTCATTCTCAGGAACACACATACTTATATTTCTAGGAAATTCTACAAATCCATAAATAGTAATGGTATGTTTGTGATCCTAAGTAGATAGAAGATATTTGTGGATCTTTGTTAGAGCTTACATATGCCTTTTATTTTATTTTATTTGCTAGTGCTTCTGATATCTCTTCAATTACATGGAATGTTTTGTGTCATTAGGCTACACACATGGATAAGACTATCCTTGTGATCTTATTAGGCTAGGGGCAACAGGAGGAGCTAGGAAAAGAAACCTTGGCAGAAGTTATGAAGATATGTGTGCCATTTAAAATCTTTGTGCGAGCTTCATTTTCCAGAGTGAACTAATTTTTTCTGCCATACATTGTCTATAAATTTATGGGAAGATCTGATCTTTAAATACTCCTATCATATACTCCTATACTCGGGCTGATGGAACGCGCAGCATGTCTCTTCTGCTGGCACAAGTGGTACAGGCCAATTCCAGTGTGGTGAGGCAGTCCCTGAAGTAACCTGGATTTACGACATGAAGATCTTTAAAGGCAATCACCAACACTTTGAATTACATCTGGAAGAAGAGTGGTAATGAACGCAGCACATGTGGCAGTGGTGTTACAGGTGTCATGCTTGGGGTTCCCAAAACTACCCACGCTCCCGCACTCTGCATCAGCTGGAGCTTTCGACTACTCTTCAAAGATAGCCCCATATAGAGCGCATTACAATAGTCCAGTCATGAGATGACTAGGAACTGAATGACTGAGTGCCGGGAATCCAGGAAAGGCCACAACTGGTGCACAATACAAAGTTGTGCAAAAGCTCTTCTAGCCATGACTGCTACCTGTTCCTCAAAAGGAGCCACAAGTCCAAGAGAGCCTCCAAATTGCGGACCAAGTCTTTCTGGGGCAGTGCCATCCCATCCAGAGTCAAAAGATGACAAAGTCCCAGATCCTCGGCTTCACATGCCCAAAGCCATTTGGTCTTATCAGGGTTCAGTTAAAGCCTGTTGTTTCCCATCCATGCCCCCACAGCCTCCAAGCACCATGCAAGGGGGCCTGGAGTATCACCTGGGTTACCAAGCATAGAAATATAGAGTTGGGTGTCATCAACATACAGTATATACCTCAACTCATGGTGATAGATGATCTCACCCAGGGGTTTCTTGTAGATGTTGAAAAGGAGTGGAGAAAGAACCAAGCAGCTGAGGACTGGACTTCTCTCTCCCTACCAATACTGACTGGGAACTGCCACAGGGAAAGGATTCGAACCAGCGCATAACTGTGCCACCCATCCCCATCCCCTATTAAGGTTAATAAGGATATGTTTACATAGATTTTACATCTAAAAGCTGAATGTGGCATTCATAAGCAATTTTAAGATACATTAAATTATATACTAAAACTCCCCATTTTATGCTTAATACTGAGGTCTCTACAATACTGAATGTTACTTATTGAATGTTTGCATATAAAAACTCTCTTTAGACACCCAAAGCTTAAATATGTCTTCATAATAACCTTTAAAAAATAAATTTTACCATTTATGGGAAAATGAAATTATTTCATCTAAATATTTGCATTAATCTATAGGTCAGTAGTGCTTGTGAATTTTGTATTTTGAAATTTGCTAATGTTCACTGAAATGGAAATATATGTGCTGCTGTCTTCCTAACTTTTAACGTCTTTTTTTTAAAAAACAGTGACTAGAAAAATATGGAGAAGAAAGTGAGGCAGCTGTGTCTTATTTCTGATCCAGACACAACATACTTTCTGCAAATAACTTGGTGCAAAGATCTTGGTATGGGTTTTGATCTTATACTAAGCGATGGCCAATCGTCTTGGATTGGAAGAGGTATAATAAATTTATAATAAATTATAATAATATGATAAATTACTGTATGACTTACTATCATTGATTTATTAAAGGGTTACTCACTTCCCCTTTTCTACTAATATTCTATTTACCCCCAAATAAGTTGAAGTTTCCCCTATCCTCACAATTATTTTTTAATTGAGAAAATAGTATTTTGTTCCCTGAAGAGACTCTAGAGCTGATTCTGAGTATGGCAGAAACAATGGAAGCAAATTTTCCCTTTTCTGCCTCATTGCAGGTAATTATTCTTGTCCCCTGGTTGGGAAGAGTGAAATCTGACAATCATAGCCAATTCCTTTATTGGGCTATGAAGACTGTATGAAATCAGTAGAGATTATAGATTATTCTAAAATCTATATTTTATAGATTATTAATATAACATCCAAAAGATTGATCCAGGCCAGTATTCTGTACCTACCATCTCTGTTGTGACTCAGCAGAAACCTGTGAGTTGTTTCGTGATGCAGGATAATGAGCAGCTGTTGCTCGTTAGGGTCTTCTCCTGTGGATAAAAGACTGATGGTGCAACGCCCTAGTTGCAGAAGTCAACGTTGGTTCGTCCGTCCGTTCCGTTCCTGTTCTAGTTCGTGTTCATGATTCAAAGAAGCACTTGGATAAGTGATTTGCTTTATGTAAAGCTGGTTTGCTGTGAGAGTTTGTTTTTGCATTTGCTGTTTAACTTTTTGCCAGAGAATTTATTTATGTTTATTTTGGGCTCGCAGCCAGCAAAAGCCGGGACTGATAAAGACATTCCCTTGCAAGCTGTGTGTGGCTGTTGTTTCTGAACGGGCTAGGTGGGGGGTCAGAACACATCTCTATCCATATACTGATAGAAACTTCTATCACAACTTAAATACCAAGATGGTATTTAAGCTTTCTCTTTATATTTTTAGTGGTTGGTATTTAGAGATCTTCTGACTATTGTACTGAAGATACTTTGTACCCTTCATTACTGATAACTATGGTAGTGTTTCCTCCATAATGATCTTTTGAAGTTGGTAATCATTTCTACATATAATTATGTATTATAAAACAGACTACTTCAATTGTCTTGATTTTTAAATGTCTTTTTAAATATAACCACAGTGCTGTGATCCGTAAAATGTTTGCTCAATTTTTAAAATATGGTATAAGAGGTTCCTTTGTGTAGGAAGGCCTCTTGCATTTTCACTATTTTAAAGAAAAACTTTATTTTGATTATATTTTAAGAAAATTATGATTTCAAATACATTGAAATCTCTTTCAAATCTATCTATTTATGTCTCAACAATTATAATGGCCTTTCTTTCAAATTTACTTTAATTCTTTGAATTACTGTCTTTTAGTGTCTGAAGAAGAGATTTCCAGAGAGGCTGCTGACATGGAAATGAAACAAGAAAAGTATGTAGAAGAACTTAAAAAAGTACTGTTGTTTGACCAAGAGTTTTCAGATACATACCGTTTTGATATTTCTAAAAAGGAAAGAAATGGAGAATCAATTTATTTTTCATATGAAAAGAATTTGAAGGATGTTACTGTAAGTATTGCTTTGTTACATTTATTTATTTTTATGTTATAAATCAACATTTGATGTCAAATCTTAAGGAACAATGGTTACTTAGACCTTTGTCTACTTTTGCCTATTTTTTTCTATCAAGGAACCATGAAAATCATACTACATAGAACATGATCAATATCATTGATCAGTATCATTTTAATAAATCTCTATTATGTGTATTTATGTAGGTCTCTTGTTATATACAGATACTCTCCAATTTACAACCATAATTGAGATCAGAATTTCCATTTCTAAGCAAGACAGTTGTTAAATGAATCACGCCTAATTTTATGATCTTTTTTGCTATGGTTGTTAAGTAAATCACTGGTGGTATTGAGTGAACCATGCAGTCATTAAGCAAATCTGGCTTAACTTTGACTTTAGTGTCAGAAGCTGGCTGGGAAGGTTTTAAAAGGTGATCGCAGGACCCCGGGACGTTGCAATCATTGTAAACATATGTGTTGCCAAGTACCTAAATTTTGATCGCACGTCCATGGGGATGCTGTGATGGTTATAAATAGGAGAAACAGTTGTAAGTCTCTTTTTCAGTGCCGTTATAACTTTGAACAGTCACTAAATGAGTTTTAAGTTGAAGGCAACCTGCACTTAAGTATTTAAGACGTTTATGTAGTACTTAAGCCTATTCTAGAAGCTGGAGTTTGAGTCAAACTGATAGGAAATTGGTTGGAAAACTGAACTAATGTATTTATTTTTTAATGAAATATATCTTTCAGTTGTACTTCCAACTTAGTTAGTGCATATGGTATTAAGAATTAAAAGAACAATAGGGAAAACAACAAAGGGAATCACAGAATTCTAAAAGAGGTATCAAATAGCAGGTTCAAAACCAACTTGCCCCAGGCTTTTTGAAATAGCAACTCTTCCAGTTAAGAACAAACTTTGCAGAAACATTACTGTAAAGTGATAACCTTCTACAAAAAAGATGCAACCTTTAATGATAGCTTGATGTTCTTATGTGCATGAGAAGAATAAAAGCAACATAAAGAAACAGCAGAATTTAACAAATTAAATGGTGTGCTCTAGTTTCTTTTAACTAAACAATGCCATCTTTTGGGACCTAGGAAGACTGCCTTCTGAGCCTGTTTTTGGAACAGCATCACTCCAGACATCTGTAAATTTCTTATATTGGTGATTTTCAAAAAGTCAGAGAAAACCTGGGTGTTGGCATTTTGGGTCAAGGGTGTGCTGCTAAGCCCTTGTAGGATATACACTTGATTATATTTTCTTTCTGATTCCCATGGTCTCTGTTTTTTAAATTGTTTTTAACAATGTAAAGCTGCCCAGAGTCTTATGGAGTTGATCAGCCTCTAAACATCATAAAGAAACAAAAGGAATTAAGGCCAGGAATATGGTGCATATAATATATGGTTGTATATGATATATGACTGCACAGGTTCAATCTATCTTTGGATACTTACAGGCCCTGATTATTCTGGATGTTGAAATTCATTCCAACATATATTAAAAAAATGAATGTTACCAATTCATGAGTGGTAATAGAATTGCTAAGAGCTAGATTGAAATGACTCCAGTTGTATTCCTGCAACAGTTCTAGTCTATTACTCTTGTACTTTTCTGCAGATATTTTTCAGTTGCTCTCTGCGATGCCATGAAAATATATTTGATAGTGTTATCAGAAGATAAATTTAAATTCAAAGATATTCTGAAAGAAAATTAAAATTGCTGTACATAACTATACTTCCATTGAAGACAATGGAATATTTGAGGGGCTGCCACAGGAGAGAAGTGGGCTATTCTCCAAAGCACCTGATGGCTGGACAAGAAGTAACAGTGGGAAACTAATCAGAAAGAGATCCAATCTAGAACGAAGGAAAAATTTCCTGACAGTGAGAATAATTAATCAGTGAACAGTTGCCTCCAGAAGTTGTGAGTGCTCCATCATTGGAGGGTTTTAAGAAAAGATTAGACAGCAATTTGTCCGGAATGGTATAGGATCTCAATAAAGGAAAATATTTGTAGCACAGATTGAAATGAAGTGTCCTGGTGCTGTCTGAACTTGGTTGTTTTCTTGTAGAAGTTTCATCCCCGAAATTAGGTATAGGATCTCCTGCCTGAGCAGGGGTATTGGACTAGAAGACCTCCAAGGTCCCTTCTAATTCTGTTTTACTGTTATTGAGATTATAATAATAAAATGCTATATCTGTACAGTGATTCCATACTAAATTAATTTTCTGTTAACATTGCTTGGGTTTGAATCTATATAATGATGGAACTAAACTGATATATAATATTGCATTCATTAATGTTTGTTTGTATCATATTAAACTTGCAAATAAAGGAACACGGGGTATCTATAGATGAAAAATAATAAAGATGAATTGCATTTAATCATTAGCAGATTGTTTAAAAACAAATTGCTTTGTTTCACGACTTTTTAAACTTTTAACATCTTCTATAAAGTTTTTAGACTGATAAGGACAAACTAAATGGCTGAGAATCATTTTAAAATAACAATAGGCCTGGTACACTGTAGGGCTTGTGTGTCAAAGCAGCTGCAGAAGCAATATGGGCCACACACACTGAGAGCTCAGTAAGGGGCCATTGAGGCTTGGCCAGCTAAACTGCTGCCACCTAAACAAACACCATAACAAGAGTCAGAGATTTACTGTTTGATCTAAGTAGGTGACCACTTGGAAGTAAATCTTTCTGAGTACTTCACCTAGGAGCTCTCTGCACATTGCAAATAATGGGACTCCTGCGATACTTTCCCATTGGAGGTGGCAATTAAATTGATTAAAGGGCTCTTGATAAACAATATTTGGGAACTAGCAAATCTTTCAGTACAATCAGGTGGCAGATATTGTAGTGTCTTGTGAACATTAGTAAACTTTTAGCCCCCCAAAATTCTGGCATATGCAAAATTTGGCTCAAAAAAGAAGTAATTTTTTTTAATTACTTTTAATTAAAATCTGAGTAATTTGTTTCATATTTCCTACACCAGCATTTTATTGTTCAAAAAGCTTAAAGCAAGAAAGTCATTTATCGATTCAATATACATTTTCTATTTTTTTTTAAAAAATACCTCTAAATGGTACCTAGCACTGATAACGTTACCTAATTTGGGTAATCAAACGTCTGCAAGAAAACAAGCAAATTTAGAGAGCACCAAGGACCCCTCACCTCTAAATGCTTCCAAAATGATTACTCAAGGGCTTAAACTCTGTGAGTATCATTTTCATCTTTTGGAACATATGGTCTGTGCTACAGTTTTTGGTGCTTACAATTGCTTGCTCAGTTGAATAGAAATAATTTCCTGTGAGGAAAACTTTAAAATCCTACATTATTGTCTAGACTTTTCACCTTAAAAAAATAAGTTTGGCAACGTTATCTAGTAGACTCAAACTTTGTTTTATTTTATTTTTAATATTAATAGAATTTAAGTTAAATCAAATATAAATATCAGTGGTGGGTTTCTAATTTTTTTACTCCGGATTTGCTGATGCTTTTGTGTGTGGAAGCGTGTGGGCATGTGGGTGGAGCCTTCCGCTGCCGCTACTACCAGTTCGCCTGATCCGGGCCGAACCAGGAGCAACCCACCTCTGAATCTCATGTATGTAAACACCCTGCCTACCATTGGCCTTAGTGAAAGAGTAATTATGAAGTCTTTGTTGATTATAACTGATTGTTGGACATCATAAATAAAGATCAACAATTGAACTGAAGCTGGAGCACAGGAGGCTTAAATATTTTTTCCAATGCAATTCCTTGAATTAATCCCAATTTTTGCTCATATACCGTTAGCCTTGCATGTATCTAATCTTTACATTTACTTTTTTGCAACCCATAAAGAATTTCACAAAATTTGAAGAGGAAGTGCAAATTCAATCTTAAAATCTCATTTCATGGTCTTGATGCAATAGGGATACTTTTTAAAATGTATCTTCCAATCTTTCTGTTGTTGTTTTCCCTTTATCTGTCTTGAAATGATGAAATTAGTCAAATTACTTTGAATCTCTGACTTTGTACTGCTGTCTAGTTATAAAATGATTTCGTTAGATTCATATTGGTTAGTTATATATTGTGTGAAGAATATTTTGATTGCCGCAAGATATATTTGATTTAATTTGATTCATTATTTTAGAAGGTTTAATTTAGTCATTCCATCATAATTTTTTCACTACTTAGATTCGGTAAAGAAAATTCATTTAAAAGTTATTAGCAGATACAGATTTTAGATTAAAGGTTATAATCTAATAAGAATATAAATAAGATATGAATACTGTACTTGTATTTTGAAGTAATTAGGAGCTGAACTAGTTCAATTAACTTATGTTTAAGGATAATTTTGCCATGATATGCAAAAAGAATAACCACCATTAAGTTTTAAGTTGTATTTAAAAGTTACTACTGCTGATCTCTAAAGCCAATTTCCATCAGATTACCGTATTTTCACGACCATAAGGCGCACCGGATTATAAGCCGCAGTATCAGTTAACGTTAATTTTTCAAACTTTTTTCATATATAAAGCGCACCGGGTTATAAGCCGCACGTTTTTTTTGCAACATTTCCCCCCCCTGCCTGCATTCCGTTTCCTAGCCTGCCTGGCCACTCGTTCATTTCGTTTCCCCCCCTGCCTGCATTCCGTTTCCTAGCCTGCCTGGCCACTCGTTCATTCCGTTTCCCCCCCTGCCTGCATTCCGTT